ACTTCCAGAAAGCATCGGCAATTTGAACTCTCTTGTGAAGTTGAATTTGGGAGATTGTCAATCCTTGGAGGCACTTCCAAAGAGCATCGACAATTTGAACTCTCTTGTGGACTTGGATTTGTTTAGATGTCGATCCTTGAAGGCACTTCCAAAGAGCATCGGCAATTTGAACTCTCTTGTGAAGTTGAATTTGAGAGATTGTCAATCCTTGGAGGCACTTCCAGAGAGCATCGACAATTTGAACTCTCTTGTGGACTTAGATTTGTATACATGTCGATCCTTGAAGGCACTTCCAGAAAGCATCGGCAATTTGAACTCTCTTGTGAAGTTGAATTTGGGAGATTGTCAATCCTTGGAGGCACTTCCAAAGAGCATCGACAATTTGAACTCTCTTGTGGACTTGGATTTGTTTAGATGTCGATCCTTGAAGGCACTTCCAAAGAGCATCGGCAATTTGAACTCTCTTGTGAAGTTGAATTTGAGAGATTGTCAATCCTTGGAGGCACTTCCAGAGAGCATCGACAATTTGAACTCTCTTGTGGACTTGGATTTGTATACATGTCGATCCTTGAAGGCACTTCTAGAGAGCATCGGCAATTTGAACTCTCTTGTGGACTTCGATTTGTATACATGTTGATCCTTGAATGCACTTCCAAAGAGCATCGGCAATTTGAACTCTCTTGTGAAGTTGAATTTGGGAGATTGTCAATCCTTGGAGGCACTTCCAGAGAGCATCGGCAATTTGAACTCTCTTGTGGACTTGGATTTGTCTAGATGTCGATCCTTGAAGGCACTTCCAGAGAGCATCGGCAATTTGAACCCTCTTGTGCAGTTGAAATTGTATGGATGTCCATCCTTGAAGGCACTTCCAGAGAGCATCGGCAATTTGAACTCTCTTGTGAACTTGAATTTGAGAGCATGTCGATCCTTGAAGGCACTTCCAGAGAGCATCGGCAATTTGAACTCTCTTGTGGACTTGAATTTGTATAGATGTCGATCCTTGAAGGCACTTCCAGAGAGCATCGGCAATTTGAACTCTCTTGTGAAGTTGAATTTGAGAGAATGTCAATCCTTGGAGGCACTTCCAGAGAGCATCGACAATTTGAACTCTCTTGTGGACTTGGATTTGTATACATGTCGATCCTTGAAGGCACTTCCAGAGAGCATCGGCAATTTGAACTCTCTTGTGAAGTTGAATTTGAGAGATTGTCAATCCTTGGAGGCACTTCCAAAGAGCATCGGCAATTTGAACTCTCTTGTGGACTTGGATTTGTTTAGATGTCGATCCTTGAAGGCACTTCCAGAGAGCATCGGCAATTTGAACTCTCTTGTGGAGTTGAATTTGTATGGATGTCGATCCTTGGAGGCACTTCAAGAGAGTATCGGCAATTTGAATTCTCTTGTGGAGTTGAATTTGTCTGCATGTGTATCCTTGAAGGCACTTCCAGATAGCATCGGCAATTTGAACTCTCTTGTGGA